ACTGGCTCTGATACACAAACTTTCTTAACCACACATAGGCTGGGCTACAATACCATATATTTTTTTGCTGGTTTTTTTCAGTGGACTTTATATTCTTTTTTTCTTCTCTTTTTATTATTAAATCATTTAAGAATTATTTCCAGTTACTGATTTACATTTTAAGTTATGATTGTTTAAGTCATTATTATCTGCATGCACTTTTTTTTATTTATTTAGAATATTTATATAGCTGCCCATCTTAAACAAATAACTTGAATAGGTAACAAACAAAAATACAGAAAAAAACATAAAACCAATAAAAATAAGAAGAAAACTACCATTCAGATTATTCATAATAGAATAACTGCCTCATGACCAACTTGCCACTCCAAAAGCACATATATTATATTCTGCTAATATTTTGACTCTAAACGTGAGGGGAAAAGCCACATTTTCATAGCATTCTGGAAGATCAAATAAGGCTGGGGCCATCAATATTAGTTCTGAGTTAGCATAGATAGTAACAGACAAATAGTTTTAAACCTGAAATAAATAAAACTTATATGCCCCTACTACTTTGTTTAATAGCTATTTAATTACAAAAATAATGCATTTTATTTTATTTTATACTAGTCACAAAAATCTATTGATGAAATCAACAATCAAAATTGCAGCTCAGTTTTATTTACATTCAGAGTGGCAAGCATTTTAAATTCACTGTTCTTTAAAGTATCAAATATAGAACTGTAAGAAAACATGAGTTTATCCTTAATCATCATATTCTTAATTTGTACTTATTTTTAAATAAGTACAAATTAAGATATCAGAGGAATCCAAGCTGGTTCCTATCAGAAATGTTGTTTTAGGTTTGCATCTCAAAATGCATCTCATAATTTATTGTAAGAGTATACAATTTCCAGGTCCTCAAGGGTCAACCCATGCTTTGTGTAGCATGCCAAGCACAGCACTCTGAAAATGGGGCCAGCTAGACCCTTTTTAAAAAAGATTTTAAGTGATGAAATGACGAAACCATGTACCTTTGGTATATGATTCTAGAAAAATAGTCTATAATGTATAAAGATACTTCACGTTTATCTTGCAAATGAACGTCTCTTTGCCCCAAGAAGGGTCATTTTATCATGCCTGGTAAAAAAAAAAAATCCAGAAATTTATGGTTTCAAATATGTAGAATGATAAAAGAATTTTATCATTCAGAACTTTTCTTCCTGGGATTACTGGACAGCCAATTAAAAAAGAGCTATGGAAGATTATTTTTATATATGGTTACCGCTGCAAGACCATTGTATGTGCAAAAATGGGAAGACAGAAAAACCCACAACAGAGAATGATTGGTGAATATGATAGAAGTAGCAGAGGTGGCAAAATTAACGTGTTTGATTAGAGAACGATCAACAGCTACATTTATCAGTGACTATAAAATCTTTATGGACTTTTTGCTGAAAAAAAAGAGAAAAGGTAACTTGTAATGATGAGTTTAAAGATGGGAAGAGAAAATTATGATGTAACTTTAGAGAGAGAAGGGAAAAATATAAATGTATGTGTTAATAACTGTAAAGAAGATCAGAAGCTGCTTCTTTATAATCTTTATTTTCCTTTTTCCCCCTTTCTTTTCTTTTGCTTTACTATTTTCTATTTTTCTTCATTATCTTTATTTTCTTTTCTCATTTTTACTTCGCTAAAATTTTTCTCAATAATAATTCTATTTTTAAAAAAAATCATTTTATCATCATCACTGTGAAAGATGTAGTATTTTTCCAGTTAAGATTAAGAAGTGTTCTTGGAAGCCTCTGTTTCCTTAAGGGCAAATATTAGTGTTTTAATAAAGTGAATCCCACCAAGCATTAATAGTAAGGTGACCAACTTTTTTACAATTAAAAGGAGGACACAAATAAATTGAAGAAAAAAATATTGTAAATAAAAGAATCATTTTATTCATTGCAACAATAATACAGACAACTTGCATGTGCAAAGTTTGCCAGCCAGGTGTTTTGGCGCGCTCAGCAGTAATTCCTATTGGCTTTCGAAAGCCAATAGTGGGAGTAGCACAGCTCATGCAAAAGTTGAAAAAAAAACCATTAAAAAAAGGTGCCGGAACACCGTTCTGAGCGTTCTATGAGGGGAAAAAAAAGCCCTGCAGATTAGTCTTCAAATATCGAAAAGGAGGACATGTAGGAGGACACTTTTTGAGGGAGGACAGAATTTACAAAAGGAGGACTGTCCTCCCTAAAGGAGGACAGTTGGTCACCTTATTAATAGAACAAATTTTGCTTTGTTCAGTTACTCAATTTGACCTCAGAGATTGGCCTCCAAGCCTATATCTGGAGATTTGCTTGTTGGAAAACAAAAAGCTTGGGAAAGGAGAGTATAGTTTGATATCCCAGTAAATCTCATCGCTTTAATATTGCTTTCTGTTTTTATTTATTTATTAAATTTATATGCCCCCCCCCAGTGACTCTTTTTTTAGCTTTTTTTTTTTTTTTAATCTGATATAGATTGAGGGACTTCTGAAGCAATGAATTCAAAACTTTGGCTACTATCTGGGGCTTTCTCCTTTCTTTTCTTCTGGCGCTAGCTTTACACCATTGGAGTTAGTTGTGGAAAGGATCTCTCTGTCATCCTGACTCTCTGTGGCCAGTGATGTAAGAGTTAGATCTACTCTATCATTGCATCTTTATTTAGTGACTTAATCGGTAGAAGATATTTTGAAACTAGAACTACCAGGTTTGTTTGCTTGTTTTCCAAATTTTAAAAATAAAAATAAAACCAGCGAAAGCATAAAACAGTTTTGGGGAGAACAAACCTGAAGCTACTGAAAATCTCACAAGTTTATTTAAATCTGGTAATGATCTATGGCATATTTTGCCATTGTGACTTGTCATTAGGCTAAAGTTATGCCTTTTAAACTGCCATGCTTCTTATATGATACATGTACATTGGCGTGAGAGAGAAACAATATGATCAAAAATAGCAATCTTCACTCTGATTTTATTAATTAAGCTCACAATTTTGTCTGATTTTGTGCAAGAGGAAGTTTAAATACATTTTTTAAATGGGTTCAGCTATAGGATATCACAAGATAGCTTAACTCAGCTTAATTCTAGTGTTTTAAATAAAGTTAGAGAAAAAGGAATTTGAAATAAACAATTTTGATACATGCTCAAAGAAAGTTTGTTTTAAATAAAAAGAGTCAGATGCCTGCCTTTAAGCTTGCTAGAATTAAAGTATGTATTAGGATAAAATCTGGGTTCTAGAAATCAAAAATACACAATGCTGTGTGGTAACTGATTTTACTGAGACAATAATATTCGCATGTGCATAAATAAAGATGTTTTCTTAATAATAGCAATAGTAAGAAAATATAGCATGCATAAATGTAATTGTTAATTTTTAGGAATACTTCAAAAGCAATTTAAAAGTAAAAAATTAAGACATCCAATGCTGCAATGGAGGAACAGTAGCAAAAACAAATGGTTTAAAAGTAGAATATTCCAACCTTTCTGCCTTAAATATCAAACTCCCTAGCAAATAAGATTTAAATGTAAATCTGATCTCACTATCTTCTGTAATATTAGAAAATTAAGAAATATTTCCAGGAACCCAAGTCAAATGGGAGGATTTAAACTGTACCTTAGAACTTCAGGCCTTTTGTCAACTATATTTACCATAATTTTGAAAGTCTGAGCTTGTTTTCTCTTGGGAATAATTGTACGTACCTTCAAACTAGTTCTGCTATATACTGTGGCAAACTACAATAGCTTTGTATGGAGATTTTAATAAGCCAACATGAGGGGAGGTTATTTTGGTTTGTTGTGGCTTTTTAAATTAGGGAATACTTATTACTTCAGTTCCTGGTTTGTTGTGGCTTTTTAAATTAGGGAATACTTATTACTTCAGTTCCTGGAGGGCATTTTTCTTGTCCAAACTTAATGAAATACAAAGATACTATATGAAAACAAAGAGTGTTACTTATTCAGTTCATTCTTCACAAAATCAGGTAAAGATATATATCAGTTTAATATGAAACTAAAATAGAAAAAAATAATGATCAATAAATTATGCAACAAAAGTTAAGACAAAGAGCTGGGGAAAATATTTGAGAGAGTATTATATTTAATTTATTTTTAAAATCAGGGAGAAATGGGCTTTGTCTCAGGGAATATAACTGAACTTCCACAGTAAGGTTAGATATAAACTTATATCAACATAATTTAATCAGGATTAAAATCTGGAGAAAAAAAGGCATTTCAAATCTGCTTTAGATCTTGTACTGAAATCCTAAGTTTTCCCTTTAAAAAAGAAAAAGGTAATGATTATTTATTATAAATCGATAGTCCTTAAAGGCCTTTATCCTTGGAACAGTGTGCATCTATTGCCTAAGTAATATGATATTAAAGGGAAAAGAAAAGAAAACAAAAAAATATGAAATAGTAAATATACAGTGATATTGAAAAAATGCCTTATAGTGAAAAATTAAGCTGAAAGATTTGAACCTTTCTGCAAGTAAATTCATGCAGCATTATTTAAAATGTTATGACCTGTTTTTGGAAATGAATGAGCATTTATTCAGAAGGACAATTAGCAACAGGATATTCCATTTCATATTTTTAAGAAGAAAAAGGATTTTTTCAGCTTCATAAAAAAGATATCCTGTAGACATTTTATTTTCAAAATATAATTCAGTGATACCTTTAAAAAAAAAAGATAAAACATCAGCATAATTTAAACAAAAGCTTGTATTGGTTAAATTGATGAAAACATCTTCACATGGCCTTGCATTGATACACAGATTCAATAGTCATTAAACTTATTATTATTTTAAAAAAAAAAGTTCTTCCGATATCTTCTAAATAGCACTTTGATGGTTTCATTTCTTCCACCCACCCTGGAAGTAGCATTTTAAAACCTTTTGAAGTCCGGATTATATTTTAAACATGTATAGGTTTCCTGTATTATTTCTGATGACCTGGCAAATTTATTGTTATATCTCTTTCAATTTACAGAATTACACAATTTACAGAAGATATTCGAGATAATAATTTCACAGTATGTAATGGAAAAAATCTAGGCAGATTACAGGTAAATTCTGTATTGCTATTATTTAAATATTTTCTTGATTTGAAAAAAAATAGTTGTACTTTAATTTAAAAATTTAAAACTTTAATTTTAAATTCGTTGCTTTTATTATATTAAGCAATGCAAATCTGTTTATTTTTTGTAAAATGTTCAGCATTTTTCAAACTAGTTAAGGATGATAAAATTGTTAAATATGCATAACAAGTAAGTGAAACATTGTAATATTAGTTAAAAACAGCTCAACACCTGAATCTGTGTTTATGTAAGTCAAATTTATTTCAGTATGAAAACATTTAAATGGAAGGTAGCTTTAGATTGTAGAAAAAGAAATTATAAACAGTAATTCTTAACAGTAAAGAGGTATTACAATTTTTCAATAGATTACTTTGATAAGCAACACTGTCACCAGTCATATTTCCTATGTAACCTTTAATGAAATGAATATATGCAATGTCTCTTTTGCAATTTTTTAATAATTACTGTTGTATGTATATAGAAAATTCCCAACAAGTTGAATAAACATTGTTTTAAAATAGCTTCATTGAAAATTAGTTATGATGTAATGATGGTTTCAATTTGCTGTGTTTGTTGGCAGTACCATTCCATAAAAGCAAATTTTACAATACAGAAGGTTCACAATTTAGTTTATATAAAACACTACTGTATTACAAACTTAGCATTTCTGACTTGTTTTATATTATTATTTTTATGCCATATTTAACAGACTGGAAATAAGAAGTAGTTGAGAATAGATTGCTTGGTGGCACCTGAGTAGCTTAGCTGATTTTAATACTATAGGTTATTTATTCCATTCTGATTATCTAGAAATATAAAACATTCTATTTATTAGAATTTGAAGCTTATGGAAGTTTAGGAAAATAAATCTCGAATAGAAGGCCATGTATATTGTTCATATTGTTCCAATACGAAAATATCAAAATCAAGGCATTTTTTAAAAGATGATGCACTATTTATAAATAGTATAAAAATATTCCTGTGAAATATATTCTAAAATATATTAAAAAGTGTAATTAGTGTTTTGTATTACATTATTGAAGAAACAAAAAGAATTCTAGCTGAAAATAAAGATTGTCAGGAAATCTTATCTATATACCTTATCAAAATATTCACTCTTTTTAATTTCAAATTTTAGTCTATCTTGACAATGAAATTATCTGTACTTTAAAGTGTGTTTTATGTTTCCTCCCCCTTTTATTTACATGTACAAATCATATGAAGTCTTTGTTCTCTTATTTATGAAACTTTGGAAAAAAATATAATAGGAGTGTGCATCTGTGTTAAACCATTTCATTTTAAACTATTATATTAGTAAGAATAAAATTAACTGAAATACTAATATCAAGATATTTTAGTAAGTGATTTTTAAAAGCTAATACTGATAGCATAAAGTACATGAGAAGTTTATCCATATATTGGGCAGATGTATGTCCCGAGAAAGAGAGAGATTTTAGATATATATGGAATATGGTATAAGTAAATCTCTGATGTTTCTGGTATTTGCAATTCTTGTGTTCTATGGTCCTGTTCATGACTTCAACCCATGTATTAATTAAAATGAAAAAAATCCAATTCCTCTGTTTAAAAGTAAAAAACAAAAAATGTGCTATACATCTCTAGTTGTTGAAAGGGTTTTTAAATAGAAATACTGAAATATTTGCTATTGAAAATGGGCATTTCTGTGAGAAGTTTTGAGTAAAATATAACCAAAGAACTACTTATGGTAAATAAGGACAAAAAACTTGCATTAGTTTTGGAGATGATATTACATATTAACAATGTGATAAGACAAGGAATTTGGATTTTTGGGGGGATTACACTAGATTGAAAAAAACTGCTTTAAGATTGAAAGCATAATAGAAATGTTTTATTTTACTCAGATGCGTGGCAGCATTTTATGAAAAAGAAAGAAAGAAAGAAAGAAAAAGAAAGAAAGAAAGAAAGGAAGAAAGAAAGAAAGAAAGAAAGAAAGAAAGAAAGAAAGAAAGAAAGAAAGAAAGAAAGAAAGAAAGAAAGAAAGAAAGAAAGAAACTATTCTGCTTTGCTTTCATGGACTAAAATAAATGAGAAATAGAAGAAAAAGCTACATTGACAGTAAGTTAATATGTTTCAACTACTTGTACAAAAGTAAGTATTTCAAGAGGAATAGATTGATTTGAGATGTTTGAATTTGTTTTGACCAATCATTTCTTATGTAACTATGGTATAACTATGGTAAAAGTCAAGAAAATCTCTAGCCCTATGCAGTAATAGTGAATATTGCAGCACAAACTATAATAACTGGAATGGCTGTTTTGGGAGGGGCAATGATATCTTATGGCTGTTACTTCAAATATACACAGGAAAAATAAGAGAGAAATATATTTTTCTAAAAAAGTAAATGCCCATTATAGTTATAATTGTTAAGGCTACTCTAAAGACGCACTGTTTCTTTTAAAAAACATACTGTTTAAGGGTTGCACTTCTTGTTTGTTGTTGTTTATAAAACTAATTTGTTGGCTTGTCTAATTCAGTAGGAAAGCCTACTAAAAACAGTAGAAAAGCTTACTAATATTTGAAATATATAATTCTTATGTTGTATATAGAAATAATCTCTTTGAGATTTTTGTTGTAAATCTTTATTTTTGCTATATTAGGGGATAAAATATTCTGAATTTGAAAAAATAAAGTTGGTTATTTTAAGAACTGCTAGAGCGACCAGGTTTAATTAAGAAATATAAATTCCTTCTCTTTCTTCAAGGTGCACGAGGTGCACAAAAGGATATGATTATATATAAAACTTTCTGAGATTTGCACAAATACTATTCAGATTAAACTGCTGATGACTGCAGTTGCAGATCCATTATTATTTGTTAATATTTATTGCTATTATTAGTTATTATTTGTGAGTAATTATATATATATATATATATATTCCTTGCTTCTCATGGATTTCTTTGGAAGTGGGGGGGGGTAGGGATGGGAGTGATACATGCATGCGTGTTGGATTCCAGCAGGTGAATGTTTTTAAGGTATCTTCCCGTGTTAGATGTTGGCAGAAAGGACAAAGTACTGTAGATAAAACGGTCTGTCGAGCTTGGTGGCAGAAAGTTAGCTGCGGGTAATAAAAGGGTTAACTAGGGCGGTGAGCAGGTGCAATATGGGAGTTGTAGGCTATCTGCATGCTGGGAGATGTCGTAAAATCCTCTCCTTTCCTCTTGCAATGGCTGCCTGCAGAGGGAACTCTGAGTGTTATTCTCTCTAATAAAAACTCGTTTTTCACAAATCCCAGGGCAGCATAGTGTGCACAATTGAAGTGATATCGGTCTCAGGATAGGTCGCAATTAATTAGGTAGCAAAGTGGGGTTGGAAGAAGGAGAATAATTGATTTAGACGGTTCTCCGGTGCCGATGCAGATGCGATCCTGCCTGTTTTGTTGGCTGGAGGTCTTGTTTGCTTGCTGGCTTCGTGTAGTTAACGGAAGCTCTGTATTTTTGTTTCCTTTTTCAGGTTTTCATCTTTGTATATATATTTTGTGTGTATGTGTTGGCTTTTCTCGTTATTTATCGGTGTATAAATATATCGATTAGTCGCGTTCCTTTCTAGTCTGCGCTGCTTGGAATTTCGCGATAGGAGCAAATCAGTTGAGTGGGATTATTAATGTATCATCTGTATCTTTCCAATGTAGGTTCGTTGCGATGGTTTTGGAAAAAGCATCGTGGTAATTTAAATTTACGTTGTTGGAGTTCTAAATGGGTATTCTCTGTAGCAATCTTTGGAGCCTGACTTAGATTTAGGAAAGACGTGAATACAGCATTACACAGGATAGATTAGATTCACTTGAGATATGAAGCTCCAGAAACTAGAAAAAAATAGGAAGAAATATTTTCCTTAAGGAGGCTTTTTTCCCTAAAAAACTGGACCTTTTTTAGGTTGTTCTTGTTATTTTACATTATTTGTGAAATGTTTAAGAGATAAAGAAGATTAGCCTAAGTTTAAAAATCTCAAATAGAAAATTGGTCAGTACAAGAATACCTATTTTCAAATAAAAAATTTAAAATGATTATAAAAAAAGAAACAGAATACTAGAAGCTTAATGGGTTAACAGTTCAGATTTATAAAATAAAACTGTCTGGACAAATCTCTTAAGATATAAGTTGTAAGTTGGAGCTTACAAAAGCCCTCCTGGTCATATCTCTATAAAGTAGGAAAATAGCTTTGTATTGGTAAGAGGAATTAAAATTTCCTGCAAATTTCCAATCTTCTGAAATAAAGATTTCCAGAAATTCAAGTCCTTTATTTCAGATGAAGTTCCATTCAAACAAAGAATCAAAATGTGGTTCATGGATGCCTAGAGTGTCTCCCCAAAGCTTCTTAGTACTCTGCAAGATCAAATTATTTTCTAGGTTCTAGGAAAAATAATACAATATTAAAATGCCATCAAATATTTATGAGAAGCAGTATGGCGGCAAATATGTCAATTTTAATTTTTCACATGGTAAATATCAGTAACTATAACCCATACAAACAAAAGCTCTTTTGGGTTCTGCCATAAATTTTAAAGGAGTGGGAGGGGTTTGAGAGACAAATGGTTAAGAAACACTGCCCTATATTATTCCAATGTGTTGACACTTACTGTGATGCAAGTAGCTGTCTAAATAATAAGAGTTTCCGTCTTATATTTTCCAGTTGTTCCAGTGAGGCCAGTGTATGAAATTAGTGGATGTAGAAAGAAAGCAGATTCTGAATTGCAAGTAGTCCATTCTGCTGGGAAGCACTTAAAATTAGATATAACTCAATAGCACTAAATTAAGACTTAACTTGAATTCAGGACATACTTACTGAACTGGTGCATTTACTAAGGCATGATGGTCGCTCTGGCTTATATAGGAAGCTTTTAGCTAGAACAATTATAAAAGTTAAAAAGGCCAAAATATTCAGATGAAAAGCAACTTTACTGGTCTCCCAAAGAAGAAACTTAAATATTTGGCAATGATCATGTTCTTAATGTAGGGCCTAAAACTGCTTTCTGTAACTTTTTAAGAAGAAAAAAATAGGATAAAGCTATTTTAATCAGAACATGATAAAATAAAGCGGCACCAGACGAGTTTCTTTAGGAAAGATATTCCATACACTTAAAAACCTTCACTAAAAAAAAGAATCCTATGAGGCTGTTGCCATGTGTCTCCCCTCTGGTGGCAGACATTGTTATATTTGCTTAAATTTATAGCAACAGGCAAACCTCCAATTACTAAATGCCAAGTCACAAGTAGATTTGTACCTGTGTACTTCCGTACTTCCAGTATCCCTGCAGTAGACTTAATGCCATGCATAGTTGGCAGTTAAAGAAAAAGAAACAAGATCTCACTTTTTACAAGAGACAAGAATTATTGTCCTGATATAGGTGCCGATTCCTACAATTTGAGAAATTACTCAGCTTTATTTCTAATAGGGGCAGAAAAGTCAACGCAAGCATGATTCACTCAGGTTGCAAGTCTGATATTACTTTGTATCAGCATAAACCCATCCTAAATGCACATCAATGTAGATTATTTTCTCCTGTTCCACAAGGATGCCTGACCCCAGTTGAAGGGATTAAAACTGCTGTTTTACTTCATAAGGAAGCCAGTCTCTTCAGTGAAATAATATACACTCATTGCAAAATAAAATTGCCTTTTTTTCTCATTTGCCTTCCTCACAGCTGTTCTCTTCATTCTTTTCCATTCCTCTAGTTGGCAGTCTTAAAAAATCATAAAGCCATAGCATCTCAGGATTTAGTCTTGTTTCCTGGCACTCATTAATTTATTGATGTTTTCAAGTGGTGACGAATATTTCTCAGATAATAAACAGCTTTACATATTCCTGAAGAAAGAAAGATGAAGTTAAGTGTCGTCATGATACATTCTAAATCATTTGAGAATTAATATCATCTAGTTACTGAAAGAAGGGAGGAGTCAGATAAAGTCTTGTAGGAACATCAGTACAGTGCAATATCAAAGAGTGTATCTTTATTACTACTTAATGATTCTGGTTTCTCAGATACGAATAATAGATACTGCAATGATCTAAGCTCTTAAATTACAGAGCTTTTTCTGGGGGGATATCTTGTTCAAGACATTATGGAGTATTGGTACATTTTCTTTTGTGCAAGATGTTCACCTAAGATAACCTTGCATTATTTTCAATTATTACATGCATATCTTTTTTTATGATTGGCTGTTCTCAAGAAATAATCTCCCCAATTATCTATTTCAGTTTTCCAATTTCCCAAGTAAACCTATGTTAATTTCCCAAGTAACCTATTTTTTAAATAAACTATTTGAAGAAACATGTCCTATACTCACAATCATTTCATAGATATTTACGGTTTGTCTACTAGATATTGCTTTTATTCCAGTTGAGTTCTGTGTTTCTGGGGAATGTCCAGATAGAAATGTGATTGGTTGCATTCAAGATTTGGTAAAGAGGCATCCATGAAATTGAGGTTTCACTGTATCAATGTCTGATCTTTAAATTTCCAGGGTTCTTCTCTTAGATCTTGTCTGGCTATCTGGGACGTCACCTGTTCTGCAGAATTGGTGAAATGGGCTAGATTGTCATCAGTTAAGATAGGCCAAATGTTTTAGCCTCAACAATGGTTGCTCAAAGTCTGCTAAAAGAAACAGAATGTGTATTTCAAGAGTTTTGTTGAGCAATTGGAGCAAATACTTGTTCTAAGAAATGAAACAAAATTTAACTGTTTCAAGCAGCCTTGTTCCTAATACACTTAGTCAGTTGTCTTGTGGATTTTAACTAGTTTTTTGGAATGGTTTTTGCTAACTTTTTCTAGTTTATCCAGTCAACTAATGAAGCAACCGAGACCTGCTGGTTTGGAAGTTTTCAGTGACAAAAGCAGCATTGTGCATTGTGATACAAGCACTAGCATTTTGCTCTGAGTGGGTAATATGACAATACAAGTTTAATAAAAGTGGAGCTTTCATCATCACCCTTCCTCCTCCTTGAGCTGCACTAATGTATTGGTTTAGAAAAATGTTGAGAAGATGTAATTTGAATACATGGCAGGCAGGAGATCACTCACAGTTGCCTACTATGAAATGAAAGGGTTCATGTGGACAGATGAGTATTTATTTAATTTATTTATCACATTTTAAAACTGCCCGTCTCACTCACCGAGGGAGGTGATATGTGTATTGTGTTCTTTATTTTGCTTGCAGATAATGCAGAAATGTATGGATGCACCATAAATATATCTGCGTTTCACCATCAAGCATTCTAATGCTGCCGAGTTGTCCAAATGCACTATAACACTAGTACAATGCTAGTAATTCACATTTAGTATCTGCTTTGTTTAGCGATTGTTTGCAATAATGAAAAAGTATCTTTGCTAACAATCCTCATTTTTACAATCTTTGCAGGTCTGTAAAATCAAAAGAAACCTGAAGTAAGATCATCATCATCATCACATCATCATAATAAAGTTGGAAGGGATCTTGGAGGTCATCTAGTCCAACCCCATGCTCAGGCAGGAAACCCTACACCATTTCGGACAAATGGCTGTCCAGTCTCTTCTTAAAAACTTCCAGTGTTGGAGCATTACCATTCTGGAGGCAGGTTGTTCCACTGGTTAATTGTTCTAATTGTCAGGAAGTTTCTCTTTAGTTCTAGGTTGCTTCTCTCCTTAATTAGTTTCCATCCGTTGCTTCTTGTCCTGCCTTCAGGCGCTTTGGAGAATAGCTTGACTCCCTCTTCTTTGTGGCAGCCCCTGAGATATTGGAACACTGCTCTCATGTCCCCCCTCGTCCTTCTCTTTGTTAAACTAGACATACCCAATTCCAGCAACCGTTCCTTATATGTTTTAGCCTCCAGTCCCCTAATCATCATTGTTGCTCTTCTCTGTACTCTTTCTAGAGTCTCAACATCTTTTTTACATCGTGGTGACCAAACCTGGATGCAGTATTCCAAGTGTGGCCTTACCAAGGCATTGAAGAGTGGTATTAATACTTCACGTGATCTTGATTCTATCCCTCTGTTACTGCAGCCTAGCACTGTGTTGGCTTTTTTGGCAGCTGCAGCACACTGATGGCTCATATTTAAGTGATTGTCCGCTAGAATTCCGAAGTTACAGTTACTCACAGTTACTAATATTGAGCAAGGTACCCCCTATACCAGGGGTAGGCAACCTTGGCTGTTATGACTCGTGGACTTCAACTTCCAGAATTCCTGAGCCAGCCATGCTGAGGGGAAAGGGAGAGTTTCCAAGCTGAGCCATGCTGGCTCAGGAATTCTGGGAGTTGAAGTCCATGAGTCATAAAAGAGCCAAGGTTGCCTACCCCTGCCCTATACTATACCTGTGCATTTGGTTATTCTTGCCTAAATGTAGAACCTTAATTTTTTCACCATTGAATTTCATTTTGTTGGATAGTGCCCAGTGTTCAAGTCTGTCCAGATCCTCCTGTATCTTAAACCTGTCTTCTGGAGTGTTGGTTATTCCTGCCAGCTTGGTGTCGTCTGCAAATTTGATGATTTCCCCATCTATCCCCTCGTCCAAATCGTTGATGAAGATGTTGAAGAACACTGGGCCCAGAACAGAGCCCTGGGGCACCCCACTACATACTTCGCTCCATGTAGATGCGGTTCCATTGAGGACCACACGCTGAGTATGGCCAGTCAGCCAGCTACGGATCAATCTGGTGGTGATGCTGTCTAACCCACATTTTTCTATCTTATCAAGTAGTAGGTTGTGATCTACTTTATCAAATGCCTTACTAAAGTCCAAGTAAATTATATCCACAGCATTACTGTGATCCACTAATTTTGTCACTTGGTCAAAGAATGCAATAAGATTTGTCTGGCATGATCTGTTTTTGACAAATCCATGTTGGCTGTTAGTAATGACTTTGTTTGCTTCTAGGTGTTCGCTGATTTGTTATTTATCTTTTCCAGGATCTTCCCAGGTATTGAGGTCAGGCCACAGTCACAGTTTTGCTTAATGACCGAGTTGCCCCTCCCAGTTGTGTTTGCTGAACAAGGACTATCTTGTTAAAACTTTGATTTATTTGCACATACATATTATATATACTGTAAAGGCCTATTGACGTCAAGCTTCAGGATGCATTTAAAAATACAAAAAAGTTATGTTGTTGTGAAGATGTGTTCTGCTATGTTGTTATGTTATGCCAGCAAAAATCTACCGCTAGGTAGTGTAAAGAGTTGTGTCTTCTATCTCTTCTATCTCTATGCTATCTGGTGGTCCTCTGGATTTTTGCAGGTTAAATATGGTGACATTTTTGTGATGTCCTATGATCTTTTTTATTTTTGCAGCCAGCAACCTTCTGTATATGCAGAATAAAAAAGAACAAAAAACAACAGAGTTGCTTTCTCCTGGGCTTCTGGGCTTTTTTCTACAACGAAAAAAGAAGGAAAAGAACACCAATTCTACTTGATCTTGCTATGTAGTAAGTGATGGGTCAGTGGGCACAGATAAATTTGTCAAAGAAACTTTTAAAGTTAAATCTTTAACTTTTAAATCTTATAAATGATGTCTGTGGAGATTCTCATTCATTCAAGTCATAGTTGTTTCAAAGGTGCGTTTTCAGAAGGCAGCTGGACTTTTTTTCCCTTGAGGAACAAGATGTTTTGCTTCTCGTCCAAGAAGTTTCATCAGTTCTGGCAGGATGGTGGGGGAGATGGTTGGAAGGATCATATTTCTTTGCAGTCATCTGGTTAGCACTCTCCCTGAGTGCTTAGGGATTTATCTGTGCTCTCAGGATCACCTGTATCAGAATGCAAATGGAGTGGAATCTTCTTGGAACTGCTGAAAGGACTGTGTTGTAAACAGTATTGGTGGTATCTTATTCTTCCTCCTCTGTTGAGAGATGGCTGCTCAATGTTGACATAAATGATCTCTTTTATTCCTCTTTTATGGAGGAACTCCTGCTGGTTCTTTTTCTGGATTTGATGAAGGCCCAGTTGGGATAGCCACAAGTTCTGAGGGTTTCCGTGACATGGTTTAGTTCTTTTTCTTTTCCCTCTTTACTGGTAGGCAAACTTTCAGCCCAGTGATGTAGGGTTCTGATCATTCCCAGTTTGTGCTCCAGTGGGTGGTGAGAATCAAAATGTAAATACTGATCTCTGTGGGTTAACATTAACATTGAAATTTACAGAAAACCCCCACACAGAGATCAGTATTTACATAAAAGACAAAAGTCACTCCTTTGAAGACAGCAAAGTCCACATTCTGGATGGAGAGGACCATTGGTTTGAAAGAAGGGTAAAAGAGGCCATTTATATTAACGTAGAACAGCCCTCTCTCAACAGAGGGGGAGGGATAAGACACCACCTGTCTCCTCTCCATAATGCAGTCCTTTCAGCAGTTTCAAGAAGATTCCAAGCCCATTTGCATTCTGATACAGGTGACCTGAGAGCACAGATGAACCCCCAAGTGGCCTCAAGAGCTCTCGGAGAGTGGAAAGATAACCGCAAAGAAATATCATTCTTCCACACACAACACACCCATCCTAATCATTCTGTAGCCCCCACCATCCATCCAGAACCAATGAAGCTTCTTGGATGAGAAGCAAAACCTCGTCTTCCTCCTCCTCAAGGAAAATAAACCGTCCAATTGCCTTTTGAAAAAGCATCTTTGAGACTTATAAAGGATATGTGCTAATTGAAAAGCATACCAAATAGATTATGTTTTCTTTGTCCTGTAACTGAATGTGCCAGAGGATTTATTAAAATTGAAAAGACCTCTATCAGTATTTTCTATTCAGAAGAGGAATCAGTTTTTATAACAGTTTCTACCTTATACGGAATCTTTAATAGGTGAAATCAGATGGATTCCAGTTGTTTCCAACAGTTGTAAGGTTTTTTAAAATGTTAAAAATTTGGCTGAATTTTCTACAGTTCATGTGATAGATAGCATTCAATATCTCATCTATCTTTGTGGCTCTTGAATAAGAAAGGAACCGGCACAGTACATTCCAACCATTTCAGGTTTTAGTCTGTTAATTTTTCTGCAAGCTTTGCTTCACTATCTTTGGACCTGAAGATTAAAATGCATACAAAGAAAACAAGTTCCTGAAGAAAGAGGCCTAGGTGAAGAAGCTCATATTCTTGTCAATTCACAGTTACGTTACTGGAATGCATTCTATATAGGGTTTCCCAGAAGTTGCAGTTGATATAAAAAACAGCAACCTACTTGTTGGCTAGTGGGAGCTACTATTAGTGTATAGTGCAGGTGCTGTCAGCTCTCCCTGATTACTGATAGTATTGTAGATACAGTTCAAAATGCAAATTTTAAGCAATAGAGCCTTGTACAGGACTGGACTGACTGCTTTAAATGATACCTGGGCTATAAATTCTGTTTCAAAATATATATCATCTTCTATATAGACCAAGATAATAAATGCTAACATGTACTAAATAAAATACAGGAATTAGAAAAGGAACATGGGAGATTTGGAGGCTCATGGATCTCAATTATGATCCCAGTCCTACCCGTGTTTCTTCAAAAATAAGACTAGGTCTTTTTTTTTTTTTTTTTGCTTCCAAAAAAGGCACTAAGTCTTATTTTCGGGGGATGTCTTTTATACTCATCTCTGGCACTAACAGCCCCACCCAGCTGGTCCACTTCTTCTGAGGCCGAAGGAGCAGCTTTATTCTGCAGCTGCATTCCGGCCTGCATTTCGCAGTCAGGCCTTTTTGGAAGGCCTATGCAGTTGAGTACTGACCTATGGATTCAATCCACACTTCGGTCCTCAGCTACTGAGGTCTTGCAGAACCAAGCTGTGGATTGAATCCATAGCTTGGTTCTTGGCTGCAGAGGCCTTCCGGAAAAGCCTGTGACTGAGAAATGCAGGCCTGGCTGCAGAAGATGTTGCAGAAGAAGTGGGCTGGCGAGGAGAGGCCTGGCTGCAAGGTAAGTGGGTGCGGGGCACATGGGGCAGCTCCCACCCTAGCTTGATTTTTAGGTGTGTGCCTCGTCCCAAAACTTTGGGGTAGGATTTATATTAGGTCGACCCCCAAAAATCAAGCTGGGGCTTGTTTTCGGGAAAACACAATATCAGACAGTCTTCCTCTGGAACTCCAGCAGTGCCCTCTCTCCTGACCTTCAGGAAAGCAATTATTGCAAAGAACTTTTAATATTTTAAAGCATTAAGATGGGATGCCTAAACTTAGAACATCTGTGCACTTACGAAAGTTCCATCTATCAGGTACAAAAGGCCACACTGCTTGGATCCAAACATATACTATGCCAATGCATTATGACATCCTCGTTCTTGGGAAGAACTCGCTGCAAATGAAGGGCAACAGCAGCTAAAGAACTGTGATTTTATATTGTCGTGTATGTAATGCAACGACCCCTTTAACAACATCAAACAGCAATATCTGCTTATCTTAGGTCCTTGGGATGGACTCAGTAGGTGGATCAAAATACCAAATCCAGTCTAAACATTTGACTGACTGTGCAGCAAACCATAATAATGATTTTAATTATTTTTATGGGATTATATTGTTTTATTTTTGTTGCTTATTACCATGACTCATTTATGATAGGGGTCCTCAACTCCCAATCCGTGGACCGGTAGCGGTCCATGGCCTGTTAGAAACTGAACCATGCAAACAGCAGGCGAGTAAGCAAAGCTTCATCTGTGCATGCTCAGGATCTAGGTTGCGCACAAAACACACACACACATCGGTGGAAGAATTATCTCTCATGAAACGTCCCTTATGCCAGAAAGGTTGGGGACTCTTGATTTAGGAAGTCCGATAGTTAAAAATACATATGCATTTCAGATTTTATTTGAATCAGGGTTCGGCTTTAATTCTGCCCCTTCATCCTCTTCTTCATGGAAAATGTATTTTCTTTGAAAAAAACTGACCCCAAATAAATGAAATAATACTTTTTCTTTATTAAATTTCTTGGTATACATCAGCTAGTATATATTTAAAAGATGCACAAATAAGGCTTTGTCCATCCTTTGCCAGATTAAGTTTATTCTCTACAGTTCTGAGTTATCTATATGTAACCTTAGTGGCTTATCTTTCTTTAACTTATATGTGTCCTTTTATTATTTCCAGCTATACAGAATGTTGGAAAAATTTATGCAAACAGATTTGGGCCTCTACTTGTATGTTCTCCGAACATAGCAAAACAGGACCAGGTTTTGTAGAAAGGAGCAAAGGGAGAAGCTATAATCCAGAAAAATGAGCCAGATTTGGCTGAGGGAAAATAAAAAATACCTCCCAATATTCCATTTGGGAGAGGACATTGGAAAAAGATTGAAAGTACCCGTGACTACATGAACACAGAATCATTTTAAGGCAGAAGGAAGAGTTTAAAAACACCAAAGTATCATGGATAATGCACAGTACATCCTAAAAGCAAAGGAACTGTTTACAATCTTATAAACCCAGTACAAAAATTGGGCAATAAAATCAAGAAATTCTTCAACAATCTAATCCAAGCAAGAGAAATAACAAAAGAAAGTTGTATATGAAAAACTATGGATCAGTCTTTTTGATTTCTATGGATGCCTTAAAATACACAAATCTGACATAACGATTCACCCAATTGCATCACTGTAAGGATCCAACATACAATTTGGCTAAGAAATTCACCAAGAAACTCAGACACTTCCTTGATGGGAGCTAATGTTCCATTAATTGACCTTTAGAATGCCTCATGAAAATTGAAGAGCTAATAACTGAAGAAGATGAAATCATGCTTTCATTTGATAACATTGTGCTTTTCACATCCAGCGATTCAAAACTGGTGAAGGAATCTATCGCAGCACTCCTATATAGCAGACCAAATCATAACAGATTACACAAATATTGAAATCCCAAGATTTATTGAATTTATGGACCTGTATCTCACCATATGCTTGCAGTTTGACAGATGAGTATACAAACAAATGGGGAAGCGTCAATGGGATCAATCATCTCCAGTTTCCTAGTAGAAATAGTGATACAGTGTCTTGAAGTAGCAGCGTTCCTATGCATATCACCCAAAACATGGATTTGTTATGAGGATATTTTTGTCATAATCAAGAAATAACAATTAAACAATACACACAAGACAATACCCTATGGGAGAAATTAGAAGGCACTACTATTGATAAATGCCTTCTCTTCCTCATACAAAAATTGTATGCCAATTCCACCTTGAAAGTGAGGTGTAATCCCCAAGGGACTTTAACCGGCTTAGTAAGGGTACAAAAAGGGGTACGGCAGGGTTGCATCCTGTCATCCTGTCTCTCTCCCTTTTTAACTTCTGCCCTTGTCACCTCACGCCTGGACTACTGCAACGTGCTCTACATGGGGCTACCCTTGAAAAGTATTCGGAGACTACAGTTGGTCCAGAATGCAGCCGCGCGAGTGATAGCGGGTGTTCCTCGGTACACCCACGTTACACCTATCCTCCGCAAGCTGCACTGGTTGCCTATTGGTCTCCGGGTCCAATTCAAGGTGTTGGTTATTACCTTTAAAGCTCTATATGGCTCAGGGCCAGGCTATTTGCGAGACCTCCTACTACCTCATAGTTCCCTTCGTCCGGTTAGATCCCACAGACTGGGCCTCCTTCAGGTCCCGTCGGCCAAGCAGTGCGATTTGGCGGGGCCGCGGGGGAGGGCTTTCTCTGTGATGGCGCCCATGTCTTGGAACCAGCTGCCCCCGGAGATTAGGACTGCTCCCACCCTGTTGGTTTTCCGCAAGCTGCTTAAGACCTAGCTTTTCCGGCAGGCCTAGGGTTTATAAAATCTGACCCCTGGATGAATGTTACTGTATTGTTTGTCTTGTTAAGTTATATTGTGTTTTTATTGTTAGCCGCCCGGAGTCCTGTGGGAGTGGGGCGGTCTATAAATTTTAATAAATAAATATATCAACCCTCTGATTGATCTCTTACAGAACCCTGATCTGCATCCGCCCAACCTAGCATATCGCAAAATCCCGATTCTTCTGTATGCCAACGATGCGGTCATTATTTCACAAACTCCTGTAGGACTGAAGAGAGCAATTAGGGCAATACTTGGCTACTGCAGACAGAATAAGTTGGTCCTTAACTTTGATAAATCAAAAATTTTAGTTTTTGCTAAAAGACCCAGCCAATACTCCTGGAAAATAGAAGGACATAGTTTGGAACAGGTTAGAACATTTAGATACCTTGGGGTGGTTTTCCACTCGCAAGGGACATGGAAGGCACATCTGGATCATACATTGCAAGCAGCCAATAGGTCCCTAAATGCAATCAAACATTACTTTTCGGAGGTCAATTAGTACCTGCTGCCTTAAAACTTTTCGAGGCCAAAACTTGGGTGCAAATTCTTATATGGGGCACAAACAGGAATCCTTGCAAAGAAAAACTTGCTGGAAACCATACAATCCAAATTCCTGCGAGCTATCTTAGCTGCACCCAAAGGAACCCCAAATGCCCAATTAAGAATTGAGACAGGCATGCCCCAAATCCAGGTAAGAGCCTGGAAGATGATGACCATTCACTGGCTTAAAATGCATTTCTTTCCAGAGGGACTGGAAGTTAGTGCTGACTGACAACTTTCCTTCCCCCTGGAAGCAGGCGATAGATCATAAACTGGGTTCTTATGGGCTCTCTTCGATATTCTTAATGTCCCTAGGCTTTGACCAAGCAAAGCAAGTAAAATCCAATAGAATAAAGGACATGGAGTTCCAGGAAGAACTAAATAGGTTGTCTTGCCACAGTAGGGATAGAATCAAACAGGGTGTGGGAATCGGCAAGATATCTGAATGATCTGACCTTCCCAAAACAAAGAATAGCTTTCTTCAGAGCCAGATTTAACATTCTTCCCTCAGCACTCCTACAGGGCAGGTATAAGAGAACACCAATAGCAGAATGGTTATGTATATATGGTAAAGGAGAAGTCAAAGATATCTCACATGTTTTATTGTACTGTGAGTTATACCAAGTTTATAGGACAGTATATTATTCTCCTCTTATTAGAGAGATTGCCAGGGAGGGCAGACAATTTTTATGTAGGCTTTCTCCCTTCTATTACACGTGCAGTGGCAAAATACTGTGTTGCAGCAATGTCCACAAGAAAAAAATTGGTTAAGATCTATAACCATCAACTTGTGCCAATTTTTTGGAGATATCTCTAATAATGGTTTTTTTTGTGCGTGTGTGGGTGCCTGGAGATCCACTGTTCATCTGCTCCCCATCGTCTTTCCCCACCTCCTCATTCATCTTAGTTTGCCTCTGTGTTGCTGCACTATCTAGTGCAGTGGTTCTCAACCTTTTTAATGCCGTGACCCCCAACCAGTCGTAAGTCGAGGACTACTCAACCGGTCGTAAGTCGAGGACTACTCAACTGGTGCAGCACCAGAATGGGACTTTTGGCGGGCTCAGCAGGGCAGAGACAGCCTGGACAATTCCTATTGGCTTTTGAAAGCCAATAGAATTAGACTCTATTCAAGAGAGTCTATTCTATTGGCTTTCAAAAGCCAATAGAATAAAAGGGAGTAGCACAGCTGAGGAAAAGGGGGAAAAAATGGCGGACTGCGTTGTTTGGCGACCCCCGTGAAATGGTCGTTCGACCCCAAATGGGGTCCCGACCCACAGGTTGAGAACCACTGATCTAGCATGTGTGCTTGAAGCTCTGTTCTTCTATTTGCCAGCCCTGTTGCTTTTCTTGCCCGTGTGTAAACTCCTGGGGGTTGTCTTTTTGTTTCTTATGGCCCCCCTTCTCTCTCTTGCTAACAGGTGAGCTCCTGTTTGTGTTAATGGGTTGCTAACCGGGCGTGTCTTTGGAATGGCTCCACTACTTGTTACTCCCATTGCCCCTTTGGTACATATATGATAGCGCAGGAGGTAACCTTCCCGTTTGCACTCGCTATTACTCGCCTGTTCTCCCGTTGATCGGGGCCATAATTCTATTGCCAAGTCATTCACAAGGCACGCCTCCGGTGCATTTCCCCCATTCGTAAGTTCTATTGCATCTATAGTCATCCGGGGTGTGTGTGCTTTTGCCTCTCATTTGTTCCCTTCCATGTTAGTGGGTGCGCTCGCCTGTCTGGCCAAGTGTCATCAACGGGGTATATCGGAGCTTTTCCCTGGTATGTGTGTATGCCCCTCGGGGGAAGCCATCCAGTGGTACCTGTTCATTGTTCTCCTTCCCTCGTCCTGACTGGATTGAGTTCTTTATGCTTTGGACGTCTGTGGGATATATTTCCCTCATGTTTTTTCTCATCCTCCTTGTTTTTCCATGGGTCTGGACATCAGCTCCTGGGGGTGGGTTGTCTGCTGGCGTTGTGTTATCCCTCCTCTCCTCTTTCATGTTTAAATGGGTTAAAGATGTCGTTTTACTTGTGGGGTGTATCCCCAGTTCATCGTTCTCTCTCAGGGTTGTGATCACCTCCCGTCACCCCCTTTCTGATCTTGTACGGAGTGAGTTGGTCGCCTGTGTTTCCAATTAGCACCCCATCCTTCCCATCCCCTTAGTATGTGGTATGCTGGAGGGAGCTCTACGTGGCGATTGATGGAGTGTTTGTCTGACACCCAGGCTTCTTTGAGAAGGCGGCCTCCCTTGGTGTTATCTTGGGATATGGCCTCGATGTTGGTGAGGTTGAATCCATGGCCACAATTGGCCATGTGGGTCCACACCTGTGAATATTGTTCTCTTCTCTTAACTGCCAGCTCATGTTCATGGACCCTGGTTTTGGAGGTTTCACCAACATAATTGCAGGGGCAATCCTTGCAATTTTATATATAACCGAGGATCGTTCTCCAGTGGGGAGTGGGTTCTTGGGGTGCATGATCCTAGCGCGGAGAGTCTGGTCTGGTCTGTGGGCTACCTTCACGTTGAAGATGGGCTAGCAGTCTGGCCGTTGCTTCTGATACTCCATTGATGTAAGGCAGGGTTGTTCGTACGGGCTGTGTGCATGTCACCTTGTCTTGTGTGTCAACGCGTGGTCGGTGTGGTCTGCTCTGCCATTTAATAAACTCCATACATACATACATATGTATATATATGTGTGTGTGTGTGTGTGTGTGTGTGTGTATACAGAAAGTTTTTCAGACAGACTGGTCTGATTGATTACACCTTGGCATTTTAACTGCTATATTGCAGTTCTACTTTTTGTGTGTGTGTAAAGATATATATATATCTTTAATAAGTTTAAATATTGGAATCCCAGGTGTGGACATTTAAAGTCAATAAAATAAAATGATGAGCTCTGGGATGTTAGAAAAAGGCTTCTTTATTGCTGAGCTTTTGTCAACAAGCTGTTGACATCATCAGAGCAAAGGGCTAAATGACGGGGGAGCATGTGCATACATTTACATAACAGTTAAAAAACGGTTACAATATGGCATGTGCATACAGCATGCTTATAAGAAGCTCACTCGCAAAAAGTCATACTGGTAACAGCAAATACACGGAAGTCAGTCTCCAGGTGAAATTCAAAAGACACACCTTTCAGGTGTTTGGCCCGTAAGCTCCATCGCACCTATCAGCTGTTCGGCGCGAGGCTCTCAGCGCCGCGCACAGGCATGTGCTGGCTGGATTCCTTGAGCAAAGTGCAGCTGGGAGGCTTGTCTCGCTCCATCACGTGCTGGTGCTGTAGGATCTTATTTGCAGGGAGATAAAGCAGACGCCCTCGTGGGGCATGTAAGTGGTTTGCCCGCCCTCGCTCCCCCTTTTTCGGATGCTGCGAAATCATCCCCATTGTAGGAATCAGTCCTTTGGATTGTAAAGTTCTTTTAATGCTGGATTGTTGTGTGTGTATGTCTTGTTGGGTATGGTCATTTGGCATGTTTGTGTGTGGTCGTTTGTTATGCTTGTCAGTTGTGGGTGGTTTTGTGAGGCTTGAAGATTGGGTTGCAACATCTTGTTCCATTGAATGTGATATGTTTTATTGCAGGGGTCAGTTTTGGTCTTGGTCTGAATATTCTGTTACTATTCAGGTATTGTGTGTGTTTGTTTTGTTGTGTGTGGGTGTCTTGTGGGGTTGTTGGGTTTGTGTTTAGGGTGTTTGAGCGATGGGTGTTGTGGTGAGGTGTTGTTTTTGTGTGTGAGAATATCCGAGGATGTTGTGTTGGTTGTGTGAGTTGTCATGGTTGTTTTAGAGTTGTGTTCTTTATTTGGATTTAATGAAAAGGGGGGGTGTTGAAGAAGGGATATCTGTTGTGTTGGTCTGGAGTTTGGTATGTGGGTGAGGTGGTGCCTTTGTGTTATTGTTGGCTGATTTAAAGTGTTTAGGTATTTTGTGTTGTTGTGTCTTTTTAGGGTTTGGTAAGGGGGTAGTAGGTCGATGTGTCTGTTAATAGAATGACAGTCAGAAAACCAAGCTTCTTTTAAAAGACGACCGCCTTTGGTGGACTCTTGAGCGATGACTTCTGCTCCT